AGAATTTGAGTTTTATTACAGTAAAAAGCTCTCAGAAACAGTCACATCTCACTTTTTTACTACAATAAAAGGCTTTCAACAACAGTCACATCTCAACTCGAATCAGCAAACTAAACGGGCCCCTAATGATTTATAGAATGTTAGTTCGGTTCCACATCATAACCGTATGCTAACAATCTGAAATTGGACTTAGACCGTTCAAATAGTGTTCTGGTCTTGTTGTGAAACTTGAGATACTATAATAATCGGAAACCGAACAATTTTAAAATACATATATAAAAAAAACCTGAGAAATATGAAATATAGTATTTATTTGAATTTGGATTATTATTCCTCGTTTAAACATGCTTATCTAATAAAAGTACAAGTTTGAATTAATAAAACGATAATAAGAACAATTGAGATTGTTGATCGTCCTTACTAACCTTCACTATCGGCTTAAAGCAAATCAAACATGAAACATAACACAAGTAAAATATAAATGTATTAAATAAATCATCACACCGAAAATTTTATAGTGGTTTACTCTTAAAAATAGAGTATAATTGTTCTAAGCAAGTATGCTTGGGCGTAAGAAATTTTTGAAAACCCTCCTTGAGAGGACTCCAGGCCTACTTTTTGCAGTAAAGGGTAACCCAAGTGGTTGATCCATTACATCAGATCGTGGATAGGAAATTGGTCGTCGTATGGTCGTCCAAGTGTCCACTTCTCTTTTGTTGAAAATCGTTTATGCTGTAAATGGTTAGCATATTTTAAAACGTGCCTAGAAGATTGGCGGTATGCGTAAATGCCGCATCGACCACTAAGCTCTCAAAGGTGATACGAGCCCACCCAAAATTGTTTTACTCACGACTCTTTCGGGGTTTTTTTTTTTATATAAATTATTATTAAATATGACTTGTATCAAAGATTTCATATTGTCTCATGAAACTATTTACATCATGTGTATAATTTTTTCCAGAAGAAAAAAAGAATCGAAAATAAGAGGTTTTCCTTGGATATAATCGAAAAAAAGCTACACTTCTTATTCCGTGACTCCGCCCAACAAATTACAACATAGTAATCAAACATTTTCTGATTCTATCAAACAACTTTCCTAGCCCCTTTTCCGCCAACAAATCTGGCGGGGCTAAATGGAGTGAGATCAACAACGGTGGCACACCCGTCAAGCACAAGCTCAGCCACAGCAGCCCCGGTGGCGGGACCATTCAGGATGCCCCAACAGCCATGCCCCGTGGCCACATAACACCCTTTTATCCCCGGGACCTCTCCGATTATAGGCACCTCATCGTCCGTACATGGCAAGAAGCAAGCTTGCTCGGCCTTCACTTGCGCCGCCCCTTCCCTCAAATGGCTTGACACATTGCCGGCCACCCTCCTCAGCACCTGTATCGATACCGGGTTGCCCTCAATCTGTTCCGGGTCATCTGGCACATCTGCCTCTGCCGACATTCCGCACACGTACACCTCACCTGTCAGTGCCACCCAAATCAAGCTCATGAATTTGATGAAAAGTTCAAAATTTTAAAATTGCTACACCCTAACCTCCTTGCTAGAGCTAGACTAAGACTTGGCATATTGCCCAAGGGGCTTTGGTAAAACAATTTGAAGAGGTAATGTATATTCACAAAATGATTTGGAGTTTACTGTGATTGACAACTCCTCACTCGCTCAACGCTGGGTAAAATAGTATCATTTTACTAAATTCCATTTGCGCGACGAAAAATAAAAGAGTGTCATTTTACCAGTTCACTTCCATTTTGGCAAAATTCACCACATTCCCTCGCAGACATTATCACAACTCACAAGCAGCTTTTAGATTACAAAAAGCCTTTTGGTTCAGCTTCAAAACTTAAAATTCAACACACACTCAATCACTTGGATGTGAGAAATCACAAAATCTCAACCTTTTCAACTATATTACAACTATACAAATGAAGTGGGCACGAGTCAAACTACAAAGTACTAATGTATTGCCTATTGTTTCCTTGGCATTTTCTCAAACAGCTTGTACGCTTTTTCTTTAGTGACATAATTCATTAAAAAAATTAAAATTTTGGCGCCAAAAAGTATCTGTGGGACGAGGATAAACTTCTGGGTCCATGGGTTTTCCTCCATGAGAGGGATAGTAACTGAGGAAAAGCGCGTGAGGTGTAATCGCCTCTGGTTCTTTAGGCTCCAACACAATACTATGAGCTTTCAGACCGTACACTCTGAACATCGTCGACAACATCTCGAACTTTCCAGACCACGGCCCCAACGCTAAAACGACGCCGTCCGACTCTATCACTCGCCCGCCTTCCAACACCACCGAGTCAACTCGGCCTTCCTCACTCACCTCAACTCGCTCCAGTTTCCCAATCACCACCTCAACGCCGTAACTCTCCACCGCCTTCGAAATCAGAGTTCTCGTGAACAGCTGGGGATGCACTTGGGCCGTCGTTTCTACTGTCCCGATGGGCCTCGGGCTCCGAGCTGGGCCGTCGACCCACGACGGCAGATTGGAGCTACCGGAGGGTCGGGAACCGGAGGGAGGGTTATTGGACTCGGTGACGGTGAGGCTGAGAGTAGTGAGGGGTCTGTAGCCGTACGATCGCGCGCCGTCGAGATCTTCCGCCAGCGAACGGTGGAGATTGAAGCTGGCGCGGGCGAGGGAGGAGAGGGGCCTACCATCGCACCAGTCGAGGGCGAGGAATCCGCCGGCTTTTCCGGACGCGGCGCAGGCGACGGAAGATTTCTCGACGAGCGTGACGGCGGCGCCCTTCTTGGAGAGGAAGTAGGCCGCGCAGACGCCGATTACTCCGCCGCCGCAGACGACGACTCGTTTCGGAGGATGACGCTCGTCCATCGGATTTGGCGGCGACGGTGATGAGGACAATCGGATTGATCTGACGGTGGAGATCTTGCGGGTTTGGGTTTGGATTCGTCCGAGAAATGGAGGTAGTATCGATGGCGGTGACGTTACTGCCGCCATATCTATTTCTCGCTTGTTGACTGTTGAGAACTTCGTGGGAGTTGACACGTGGATATCGCTACCTCGTGTCTCGTGTCGCGTTTTTTGGGAGGAAAGAAAATTCGTATGGGCCGATTTAGATTCAGGGTTCGTGAGTTGGGCTTAAATGGCTTTGTTATTATGGGCTGGCGCGGAGAATTAATTAGGCCCATTTTGATTAAGCCGAGCATGATGATTTGTGCATGTTCTACTCCATACTACTTTAATTTTAATCTCAAGATAATACCTGGAAAGAA